GCCACCTACGACCAAGGCACGGCGAGCTGGCTGTACGGCGACGAGGCCGAGTGGGGCAATTCGGCCCTGCCGCCGGCGCCGCCGTCACCCCCTGCAAGGCCATGCGCCTCCAGCTTCGCTCCAGTCGACCCGGGGAGCCCCTGGCTGTCCAGCAGCGATTCCGCCCCAAGCAGCCCGTCCATCAGCCATTCCAGCCCCGCGGAGGCCACCCCCTCCCCAGGCAGCTCGTCATCCGGGCCGTCGGAGATATGGGGCACCCCGAGCCAGAGCCGCCAGCCTCAAGACGACAGCGGAGTGGGGTTGGCCAGTCCTCCGTTCTTTCTTTACCCCGTCCCCGGGCGTCCCCGCCGGCGCCGCAGCCCGCGCGATGGGCCCCTCGAACTGTAAGTATCCCAGAGCAGAGAGTTGAGCGCGTGTAATGTAAACAATAGTGACCTTGGACCTTTGACCTGTGCAGCGCCATCGTCGAGCCTGAGTTCTTCCCCCGGAGGGCCGCCCTGTCTCGCGGCCTGGAACTGCGTGTGCTGCAACTCCCCCTGGACCCTCTGTCGTCCGTGCAAGGACGCGGCCCGGGAGGAGTGGGCAGCCGAGCTTCGATATCCCGCCCACGGAGAACTTGAGCGAGACAACGACGCGGCCCAGCTGGCGGCCTACTGGGAGGCCAACGAAGAGTTGTGGGAGACCGAGGCCGCCCAGGTCGCATGTATAGAGCACTGCAACCGGGAGGACGACCTGGCGGCCGACCTGGCCACCGCTTCCGAGCTTGGGCAATAAAAGGTGCAAAGAAATCCATTCAGTCATTAAACCCAAACCACCACCACATGAGCGCAAACAGCAAAGCGAGCAAAGCAGGGATGGGGTAAAGGCCTAACGAGCTCTCCCGAGCCTACACTGTTAAAAAAATTGCTGTAAATTTACAGCGAAAATGTGATTAATTTTGTTAGCAGCACATACTGTATTTTTACAGGCTTTACTGTATAAAAGCAGCGTTAATGAAAATGTCGGAAACAAAGTTTCCGACCAAAAGCAGTTACTTTGTTTTGCTTCTGTAAAAAAAACATTGTAGTAATACGAGTGTCCTGTTTTGGAACGAAATATGCTGCTAACAAAATTAACTTCTCTTTTCTTGTAAATGTACAGCAAAGTAATACGTAGTAGTTTTTGTTGTGGGCCAGTATGGGCCGAATATCACAAGTTTCGAGAGTGTTCACAAGAAAACAACATTTCTGTTACATTACAGGAGTGTCAATCAGGCAGTAAGTCGTCAGGTGACA